GGCTGCAAATGCGGGATTTCTCCTGGGTGGATTTGACACCGCTTTCCCTTCCCTGCTGGCTCCTTTCCGAGTCCCAGGCCCGAGCCAGTGTCCCACGCTGTCCACCGAGAGGTGGGCTTGCGCGGTGGGGGCTGAAGACCCCTGGAGGCTGAGGTCTGCCTGGCCAATTTGGTTTAGGGAGTTGAGAACTTTATTCCCAAACCTGAGATTACTGAGGCTCCCCAGCACTCTCCATCCTTTCTTGGCCTTAAAACACCACTTTCCCTTTTCATCCAAGGCTATCCCAAATCATGAGGCCTAGTTATTTACCCGCTACATCATCTGTACCAGTCACTGAGAGCAAATTATTCCAGGCCTCATAGGAGACCTTTATCCTCACTGTCTTCATCACACCTTCGCTGCGGGGCTGCAGTTCCTAGCCCTGTTTCGCTGCTAGGGGGCTGAGGCTTAAAGATGCCCCAGGACTGGAGGCTTCACTTCTTCCCTCAGCTCCAGCAGGGCTCCTGAGGAAGTACTGACTGCCACAGCCAGGAACATCCCAGCTGCAGTGTCCTCCACCTGGGGCTAGGGACTTGACTGTGCAATTCTGGCTCTTGCATGGTTGGCCTCTCCCAGGCTCTGCAGTGGTTTGGAAAAGGCTGTCCTGTGCCCACGGTGTGCTGGTTCAATCATTAACAACTGGGTCTAGCAAAGGAAAGCCCTGATTTGCACCTTTTACATTTGCCCGTGTTATAAATACTCCTGCCGTCACTGATTTCAAGCTACTGCCAGTTTAACAACTGGTTCGTAAAAATTCAACAATCTGGTCATAAGAGCTGCTCCAGTGCACCACTGCCTGGGCAGCATCTTTGCAGAAGGGAGCAGCATAATAGGTAAATTACACAGAATGTTAGGAGGTGGTGAGCTCTCCAGGGAGAGAAAATATATAGAGCAGGCAGGGATGCATTCATGCTTTGTGGAACTAAAAGCTCATATAATTTGAGGAAACAATAAAAAATTACAAATATGAAGTTGAGGTCAGGGCCTTGGAAGTGGCCTGTATAAGGTCCTTAAAGACTTAGCTTCAAGTTAAATATTTTACTAAGAGTGGGGTAAGGGGCAAGGGTGGCCAGGTGGCTCTGTGAGAAAGGCCAGTGCAAGGACATTAAGGTGGGATCAGTCTACTAAGCTGGAGGAAGAGACTGGAGCTGGATGAGCATGGGGAGTGCAGGGGGATGGGGCCACAGAGGGGACTGGGGCTCCATCAGGCTGGGTCTGGCAGACATTTCAAAGGACTTTGGCTTTTACTGTGAGTGACTCTGGCTTTTCCCATAGCCAAACTGTAGCAGCTGTTTGTGCTGCTTTACAAGGCTCACTCTGCTTGCTCTGTTGAGAAGGAACAGTGGAGGTGGGTGGGAGTGGCAGAGGGAGATTGTTAGAAGGTTAGTGTAGTGATCCAGGTGAGAGATGATGGAGACTCAGACCAGGGTGGGGGCAGCCAAGGTGCCAGGTGTGCAGCTGGGTGTGCAGGCTGAGCAGGTCCTCAGTCTCCTCGAGGTGCATCAGGGTGTGGAGGCTGATGGCTGAATGGGAGGTGGGAGGTAGAGCACAGTCATGAGCATACCTCTGAGAGGCTGGAAGCCAATGGAGCATGGGCAGTGGGGGTGAGGCTCTGTGGCAAGAGGGAGTTGGATTCTAAAGGTGAAGCCTGGGTGTGAGCACTACCATGGGCCCTATCTGTGCCTCCGTTTCCCCTTCTGTGATAAGGATTTGCTGTAGCAAGACACAGTGCCTGCACCTTCTGGGGTTCGCCATGATGACAGTGGTTACAATGATGATGATGAAAGATGGGAAGGCTGGGCAGGTGCACAGACCACAGAGAGAGACAGGGAAGGGAGTGGAGGAGGCAGAGGAAGGCCGCGCTGGGAAGCACTTGTAGGTCAAGGGCGGGAGCTGTTCACCCTCAACACTCACTAAGTGTGAGGCCTGGTCACCTGCGAGGTGTGAAGAGTGAGGACCAGGTTTAGGGAGGTTGCTGGGGAGAGTTGGAAACCAGCCCGAGCCAGGGGCATGCCTGGAGACCCAAGCTGCTCATGTTGTTGGGGAGGGGGACACAGAGGCTTGAGGTCCCTGAGTAGGGGGTGGTGACTGGAGCCTCCTGGTGGATTTAGTAGGGAGGGTGATTGGCCATTTTTGGTTCACAGAGAGAGGCCAATGGGAGTGGAGGACAGCCAGGGGTCACTTCCCCTATCCTGCCGGTCAGTGGGCTGGACTGAGTGGCCATGCCCAGCCAACACCCCCCGGTCGCTGGGGGCTCTTTGCAGACTGAGGAGCTGGGGTGGGGTGGAAGGTTCCGCTGCCGCTGTCGGAGGGCCTGCCAGTGGGCCTGCCAGTAGGAGGCAGCCACCCAGCCCAGCGTTGAAGGCCCCTCCCTTCCTACTTCCCTCAGACAGTTTCACTTTTGTTTTCTGGATCCAGGTCTTCTGCCTGCGGAGCAGGCTTGGGAGTCCTGACTGAAGGTGTGTGCTGGGGTGGTTGAGGAAGCGGGCACTGTAAGTGCAGGCTGTGGGCCACCCATGATGAAGGGAGGTGCCAGGGAATGTTGTGGGGGAA